ACTGTTTGAACTGCAATGTCGGTGGTTCAAGCTCACCAGCTGCTACTGGAAAACCCTATACAGGGTCGCTTTGGGTCAGAACCGACTCTATGGCATGTAACAACAACAACAGTACTACATTATATCTTAAACACTATATAACATGTATCATATACAAGTAGTATAGAATGCCTATTGCGTGTGGCGCTGTTGGTTAATGCGCTGGAATACAAGGTCTTTGTGACCGTAACATCAGCAGTTCAAGCTCACCAGCCACTCCTTGGAAACCCTATACAGTGTCGCTATGAATTGGGACTGATTCCATGGCACTAAACAACAATGACAACATATACAAATATGGCAGAGACTACTGACTGCTTACATCTCTTCTCCCCTTTTCCTGGACAAATGGCCAGATTACAGCTACTAGCTTCCTAAACAGTTTTACCAGTTGCCATCCCAGTTCAGTCAACTTTGAGCCATGACAACCCCATGAGTACCAGATGGGCTTGTGCCCAGTAGGGTTTTCAGTGACAGCTTTCAGAAGTACACTGCCAGGCCTTTACTCTGAGGCAACTCTGGGTGGACTTGAACTTAAATCCTTTCAATTAGCAGCCACATGTGTTAACTTACCACCACCCAGGAACTGCCCCTAACAGTTAGGGGGTATGACTATTTTAAGTGGCTTGGGCAATTTCCAAGCAATGCCCAGAACACATTTAAATGTGCTTTTATGCTCTGTTCCACCCTGGCCAGCCCACTTAGCTGAATACAGATAAAATGCAGGCTCTGTGGGATGGTGAGGAGTCCTGGTGTGGCACTGTGAGCTAATGCGCCAGACAGCAAAGCAGTTTGAACTGCAAGGTTGGTGGTTCAAGTTCACCAGCTGCTCCTCAGAAACCCTATATAGGGTTGCTATAGGTCAGAATTGACTCAATGGCACTTAACAACATCAACAATGGGTGAAGCCATAAGATGGAACAAAAACTGGATCCTTGAATCACTGTCGAAGTTTCCTTCAATTGGTTTATAACAATGACGTTATTTGTTGGCCCAGATTGAGGATTTTTGTTTTATTTACATTGAGTTGCAATCCATACTGAAGGCTGTAGTCCTTGATCTTCATTAGTAAGTATTTTAAGTCTTCACTGCAAGCAAGCAAGGTTATGTCATCTGCCTATCACAGGTTGTTAATGAGTCTTCCTCCAATCATGATGTCACATTCTTCTTCATGTAATCCAGTTTCTCAGATTATCTGCTCAGTGTATAAACTGAACAAGTATGGTGAAAGGATTCAACCTTTTCCTGATTTTAAGCCATTCTGTATCCCCTTGTTTTGTTCTAACAGCTGCTTCTTGGCATAGAGGTTCCTCGTGAGCTCATTTAAATGTCTGGGATACCTATCCATAGTTTGGTATGGTCCATACAGGACAACATCTATGCATAGTCAATAAAGCACAAGTAAATATCCCTCTGGAATTCTCTACCTTCGACCAAGATTCAGCTGACATCAGCAATAATATCCTTAGTTCAATGTCCTCTTCTGAATCTGGCTTGAACTTCTTGCAGCTCATGGTCAATATACTGCTGCAACTCTTTTTGAGTTATCTTCAGCAAAGTTTTATTTTATGTTAAAATAATGATATTTTTCAATTGTTTCTGCATTCCTTGGGTCACCTTTGTTGGGAATGGGTATAAATATGGATCTTTTCAAATTGGTTTACTAGGTAGCTGTCTTCCAAATTTCCTGGCATAGACAAGGGAGAGCGTCCAGCAATACATCCATTTGTTCAACATTTCAATTTGTATTTTATCAATTCCTGGAGCCCTGTTTTTTGCCAGTATCTGATGCACAACTTTGACTACTTTTTTCAGTACCATCAGTTTTGGGTCATATGGTGCTTCTAGAAATGGTTGAACATTGACTTTTTGGTATAATGACTGTGGTTTCCTTTCATCTTCTTTTGATGCTTCCTGCATCATTCAATAGTTTGCCCACGTTGTTGTTGGTTCCATCGAGTTGGTTCCAACCCATAGTGACCCTTTATAGGGTTTCACAGGAGAGACTGGTGAGCTTGAACCAATGACCTTGCTCTTCAAAACAACTTTGCATTCCTGCACATCACAGCACCACACCAGGATTCCCATAGAATACTTCAACATTGCCATCTAATGCTTGAATATTTTATTTTAAATTCTTACACCTTTGGAAATGCTGACCATGTTCTTCCCTAGGTTTTCTAACTTTGAACATCACATTATAATAATTTACTTCATCTTCTCAACCTGCCCTTTCAATTTTTTTTTTTCAGCTCTTTTACATCATTTCTTTCATTTATTTACCTTAGCTTCTGTATGTTCCAGAGTATGCTTCTGAGTCTCTTCTGGCATCCATTTTAGTCTTTTCTTTTATTCCTGTCTATTTAATGACCTTTTGTTTTCCTCATGTATTCCATTCTTGATGTCATCCCATAACTCTTCTGATCTTTGGTCATTAATGTGTAATACATCAAATATGTTCTTGAGATGGTCTCTAAATACAGACATAATTTATTCAAAGTCATACTTTGACTCATAGATTTGTTTTAATTTTCTTGTGCTTCAGCCTGAACTTGCATATGAGCAATTTGTGGTCTGCTTCACAGTCTGTCCCAGGCCTTGTTTTGATTGATTATATTGAGTTTGTCCAATCTCTTTACACAGATGTAGTCAGTTTGATTCCTGTTTATTCCCTCTGGTAAAGTCCATGTGTATAGTTGCCTTTTACACTGTCGAAAAAAAGATATTTGCAATGGATAAATGATTGGTCTTGCAAAGTTCTATCGTGTAATCTCTAGCATCATTTCTATCATCAAAGTTATATTTTCCATCTACATATAGCTTAACTATATATGAGGTTGGTGCGGGACTGGGCAGTGCTTTGTTCTTTTGTGAATTGGGTCACAATGAGTCAGTAACAACTTGATGGCACCTAACAACAACAACATATTCATCACTGTAATCCTGGTGTGGCGCTGCAAGATAATGGACTGAACTGATTGAGCCAAAAGCTTGGCAGTTCAAACTCACCAGCTGCTCTTTGGAAACCCTGTGCAGAGTGCTTATGAGTTGGAACTGACTTGGCAACATGTAACAACAACAACATCATGCTATACAATAGCTTGTGTACAAATTAAAATGCTTTGCAGCTCACCCTTTAAAAAAAAAAAAGTAAACTCAGCTTAAATAAATGAAAAATAAGAATTCACGATTATGAATGTGTCTTATAGGCATAGTTGATATAAAAACAAGATAAGATTGGAAATTTGTAAGATAGGCACTGGATTTTTAGCCAAAGGTCAGTGATTCAAACCCACTATATTCTCCTTGGAAACCCTACTCAGGGTTGCTATAAATTGGAACTGACGTGATGGCTCTTAACAACAATAGCATGCCCGAAAGATGATGGCCCAGTGAGTGATGTCTTGGGCACCTTCAAGGGCAGCAGTTTAAACACACCAGCTGCTCCTTAAAAGAAAGATGAGACTATCTGCTCCTGTAAAGATTTACAGTCTTGTAAACCCTAAGGAGTAGTTTTACTCTGTCCTATAAATCTGCTAAGAGTTGGAATTGAATTGCAAAGGGATTATGCCTGAAAGATTTTTCTCTGTACTTCCCCATTAGACTTTTCTTTCCCTTCAAATATGTCTCAATTACATTATGCCTGTACCTTTGCCTACCATTTTGTCTGTCTTTAGGGAGTAATTTTCCTTGTCTCCATTTTACTATACTTGCCTAGCCTAGATTGGCCAATTTGGTACTAACATCACCTGAAGATATCTTCCATCTTTTCCAGTCCATCATTATTACTATGAAGTACTTATTTGTATTTCACTTATTTGACAAGCAGTTTGATGTGGCACTGTAGGATAAGCACTCAACCATAAAGTCAGTTTGAACTGCAAGGTCGATGGTTCAAACTCACCAACTGCTCCTCAGAAACCCTAGACAAGGTCACTATAAGTCAGAACCTACTCAATAGCACTTAACAATAACAACAATATAAACCTTCTTTCAAATGTGTAAAGGGTTTTTGTATCTTTTCTGATAAATTATGCTGTAAGAGTGTGAAGGTGAAACCATGACATAAAAAAACAACAACAACAGAATTTGTATTGTCTAATCTTCTGTAGCACAATATAATCCATATTTGTTGTCGTCAAGTGCAGTCAAGTCTGTGCTGACTCATAGAAACTTTGTATAGGATTTCCAAGAGCAACTGTTGAGTTTGAACTACAGACCTTGCGGTAACCAGTCCAGTGCTTATTCTATAGCACCACACCAAGGCATATAGTTGTGACATGAAAGGATAAATGAAGGCTGTCCAGACCTCAAGCCACAAAAAGGCTCACTGCCCTAGAGTTAATTCCAACTCATAGTGATCTCATGAGGCAGAGCAGAACTGCCTATTGGAGTTTACAAAACTGTAAATCTCTATGGAAGCAAACTGCCATATCTTTCTTCTGTGGAGCTGTTGGTGGGTTTAAACTGCTGGCCTTCCAATTAGCAGTGGAGCACTTTAACCACTTCTTCTAGGGAACAAATCATGAAAATTAATGGTACATCCTAAGAACCAATCATATTGTAATCCCGATTTTTCATTTTTAACTTATGATATGCTCTTGATTGATGATGAGCACTATTCTGAATTTACAAAGGTATGGCTTTTATTACTTTAAATTAATTAATTAATTATACATTAATTAAATATAAATTTGGAGACGTGTTAATGTAGACTCAGTAGGTATACTTAGCGCTTTTGAAGTCAGAGTCTATTTTTATTTGCAACTACAAAGTTTCATATGATAAACAGAAAACAAGTATGTAATGTGGATTATTTAGCATCATTAAGTTTTCTTAGAAGTAAACATTATATTTCTTTAAATTACTTAATAATCAAAATTTCCAGATACTGACAGAACATATTATGAGTTCATCCCTATTTAAAATTTTAAAAATGTTTTAAATTGATATGTCCACAGATGATAATGAGTGTGAAAATTCAACCCAACCCTGTGGTGAAAACGCAAACTGCACTAATACAGAGGGGAGTTACTACTGTATGTGTGCATCTGGCTACAGATCCAGCAGCAACCAAGACAAATTTATAACTAATGATGGAACGAACTGCATAGGTAAGTTTAGTTTTCTAACTAAAATGTGGATCCCTCATTTAATGCTTATTTTCTCCAGAAAAATGTATGATATTGGAGCCAAATCCCGCCAGTTTCTGATTATAACATAGTTATTAAATACCTTCAGAAGCTGCATTAATTCCTTTATTTTGCTTCTCATGCATATATTAGATAATTTTGAGATCTAGCATAGTGTTAAAAACGCAATAAATATTACCACTTTAAAATAATTTATTTACCCAAGAGAATGACCCTTTGTATCAGAAAGTGTTGATGTATTTATAAACAGGGCACTCTGAAATGATTTCTCTGTTTTCTTAGAATGCGTTCAGGATGTTACTTATGAAAGGAGTGCCTTCAGGCTTTTGTTACTGCCCAGCTGAAAGCTGCAGTTCTGGTGTGGCACTGTAGGATAAGCAATGGACTACTAAATTCATGGTTGGCTGTTCAAAACCACTAACCACTTCTCGGAAACCCAGTACAGGGTTGCTATGAGTTGGAACTGATATGATGGCACTTAACCACAACAACAACAGCTGAAAATTATTCAAACTTAAAATCACCATTAAATTTCCTCACCAGTCTTCAATTGGAAACATGATGACAAGCTTTACTAAAATGTCTTTTTCTAGAATAAGTAATTTACATTTTTATTTCAACTTTTAAATAAGTAAAATACTACTGAGTTTTTAAGAGGGTATTTAAAAGATTTGGCAAACATCAATTTAATGTAATTTTATAAAGCATATGATTTATCAGAGACTATAGAATTTAGATTGCAGCTTGAGGAAAAAAGATGATTTAAAAACTTCAACAGTTGATTAATTTTCTAAGGCAAATTCTGTGGAATCCAAGAATTTAACTTAGAAAACAATCTGCAAATCATCTTAATTAAGGGTTTTTTAATTTGTGAAATTTACTAACCATCTGCATAATTAATTATGATTTAACATAATCTACTGAATTAATAGATGGACTGAGATCATGCAAATTTAATCATATAGACAGGGACAGAGACATGTCAAAAAATCAGGACTCTAACAGGCAACAAAGTACCTTAGGTGGATAGATATAGAGGATAAATTCAAGGAAATGTAGATCACAATATAGCCTTTGATTGAATTATTAGTGTGGTGCTATCAGATCAGCACTGGACTGTGAACCACAAATTGCTCACCTCAAATCCACCAGCTATTCCATGGAAAACTTATACAGGGTCACTATGAGACAGAACCAACTCAGTGACACTTAACAACAACAATAGCCTTTGATTAAAGAGCCCTTGTACCATAATGGATTATGAGCTGAGCTAATAGCTATAAGGTCGACAGTTCGAATCTTCCAGTTGCCCATGGGCAAAAGATGTAGTTTTCTGTTCCGTGAAGATTTACAGCTTTGGAACCTATGCAGGATCACTGTGAGTTGGAACTGACTAGGTGGCACACAACCACCATAGCCTGTGATTAGTTCCTTAGTGAAATTCTTATTGGTAAACTTCAGGGAAGTCTTGCCATATCATTATTAGTGTATGATAAGGTAAGAGTTAATGTTTAAAGAAAATTAATGAACTGTCAATATCAAACAAAGCATTCAATCTCATGTACCTACTATGATTTATAATAACTGTGTAAATTGAGAGGGATCCTGATGTGGTACTATAGGATAAACACTGGACTGATAACTGAAAGGTCAGCAGTTTAAATCCTCAGAAACCCTATATAAGGTTGGAACCAACTCAATGGCATTTAATAGCAGCATGCAAAGAGGGAATATTTTATTCTTCTCATTTTATAGCCAAAGGAACTTAATAACTACTCCAGATGCACTCATTCAGGGTAAATGTAGGACTAGAATCACAGTCTTGTTTCTAGAAAGTCTGTTTTTTCCACAATAGATTCAAATGGTTGAACTATTTAAATCTCAAATTTTGATCTGAATCAAGCTTTGTATGGATATAAAAATAAAAACTTGCAAGAAAATAGTGGTATTCTTTTAACTATAATTTTATTGTTAGTATGTCTGTAAAATTTTATTTAAATATAACAATAAAATATATGGAGGAAATAAAAATCTATGAAATTGGATCAGAGAACATATAACCACAAAACCAAATCCATTGCCCCTGAGTCAATTTCTAATCATAGAGACAGTATAGGACAGAGTAGAACTTCGCTGTAGTGTTTCCAAGGCTATAATCTTCATGGAGGAGTCCTGGTGTGGTGCTGTTGGTTAATAAACTGGAATGCAAGGTCGGTTTGAACCTCAATTCTGTCAGTTCCAGCTTACTAGCCACGATTCAGAAACCCTATACCGGGTCGTTAAGAGCAACAATCTTTATGGAAGTAGACTGCCATATCTTTTACTTGAGGAGCAGCTGGGGTGGTGAACCATAGACCTTTTGACTAGCAGTGGAGTGTTTAACTACTGTACCACCGAGACTTCTTCGGAGAACTTCTTGTTGTTGTTAAGTGCTGTCAGTTGGTTCCACCTCATAACAACCCTGTATAGACTTTCCAAGGAGTGACTAGTAAGTTTGAATCACTGACCTTGTGGTTAACAGTCTAATGCTTATCCTACAGTGCCACATAAGGACTCCTCAATAAATGTAAAGTACCTTAATATTGTTTTACTTCTCAAGTTTATAGTCTGCTCTTAGGCCAGTATGTGCCTAGCACACTTTCAAAACAATGCCGTACAATGTGTCTGTTTTTATCTTTTGTTGTGTGCTATTGAGTAAGTTTTGACTCATAGTGACCCTGTATAGGGTTTCTGAGAGCAGCTGGGGGTTTGAACTTCTGACCTTGAGGTTACCAGTCCAGTGCTTATCCTCCAGCACCACATTAGGGCACATTTTTAATTTTAATAAATTGTAACTATGCAATTCAATGAGCCCTGATATGGCACTGTAGAATAAGCACTGGAATGCTAACTGCAAGTTAAACTCCACCAGCTCTCTTGCAAACACTATACAGGGTCACTATGAGCTGGAACCAATTTGATGGTATTTAACGACAATAATAAGTAGAGATATTCCATTTAATGATGAAATCCAATGTGCAATATCTTAATCACTGAGCATTAATACAATTTTCATTTTATTTTTCATTTCCTAGTTCTTCTTGGTTCTAAAAGTTTTTTGCTTTTTCATCTGATCATGCCTACTTTTAATACTCCTCGATTCTAAAAGGACTGTATTTCTCTGTCTGTTCATATTCCTTACAAGTACAAAATACTTACGTTAGAAAAATTGAATCATAGTCACTGAGAAAGTACATACACACAAGGATGATTGAATGTCAAGATTTTTATGGGGTTATAGAATATTTGTAATTTAAGACTCTTTCTCGCAAGACTTGTTTATTTTTGAGATAGTGCAGAAAGGCCCTATGTTTTTGCTACTTCCCCTTTTAGCTTTTTCAACAATTGGTAAATACAATAACTGTATTAAAACTCAGTAGTACATAATATTGAGTCCATCAATTTTTATTTGTTTTAATTGATGGATTACTTATGTAAAAATTCATTCCCTGGGTGGAAAAAAAATATTTCTCACCAATGTGTTGTCCTTAAGGATTAAGTTTTTTTAGAAGCAGTGCAACTATTTCCTTTTTTTTCCAGTCTTATAGTAATTTTTGCTGTGCATGATGATAATCTTCAGAGATTTTGAACAGAGAACAATAAATATATTTCCTTTTTTGCATTAGTATATCACCAAGCCATGGTATTTTCAATAACCTCACATGCATGCAAAAGCTGGACAGTGAATAAGGAAAACCATAGAAGATTTGATGCTTTTGAGTTATGGTGTTGGAGGAGAATATTGAAAGTGCCAAAAGAACCAACAGGTCTGTGTTGGAAGAAGTGCAGCTGGAGTGCTCCTTGGAAGCCAGGGTGGCCACGCTTTGTCTCTCATACTTCGGTCATATTGTCAGGAGGGACCAGTTGCTGGAGAAGGATATCATGTTTGGTAAGGTGGGAGGGTCAGAGAAAAAGAGGAACACCCCCCGCCCCCCGCAGCGAGATGGATAGGCAAAGTGGCAGCATCAGTGGACCAAAGTGTGGCAACAGTAGTGAAGTTGGCCCAGAATTGGTCAGTGTTTCGTTCTGCTGTGCATAAGGTCACTATGAGTCGATACCGGCTCGATGGCACCTAACAACAAAAACAACATATCACCTTGTAGTGTATAACCTGTGAATTGAAATTATAGCTGGACCTTAAATTGGACATTTTTGATAATGATATTCATTAAGAAGCTCTGAAAATACAAATTTGAAAACTCAAAATCAGAGCAATGAGACATATTTTACTTTTAGCCCATATTCAAATACATTTTTACACATAAGGTAATTGTGTTTCTGAAGCTTTGGGTGAGAATTGGCACCATGTACAGAAACAGCTGCAAGCATACATTGACAGAGAACTTCCAGAGGTTCAAGCCGGATTCAGAAGAGGTCATGGAATGAGGGATATCATTGCTGATGTCCAATGGATCTTATCTGAAAGCCGAAAATATCAGAAAGATGTTTTCCTGTGCTTTATTGACTATGCAAAGGCTTTCGATTGTGTGGATCATGACAAGCTATGGACAACATTGCAAAGTATGAATATTCTTGAACACTTAATTGTATGCGTGAGGAATCTGTACAGGGACCAAGAGGCAGTTGATCGAACAGAACATGGGAACACCGAATGGTTTAAAATTAAGGAAGGTATGTGACAAGGTTGTGTTCTTTCACCATACTTATTCAACCTGTATGCTGAGCAAATAATCAGAGAAGCTGAGTTATATGAAGAAAAACGTGGCATCAGGATTGGTGGAAGACTCACTAACAACCTGCAATATGCAATGACACAACCTTGCTTGCTGAAAGTGAAGAGGACTTAAAACATTTACTGATGAAGATCAAAGAGCACAGCCTTCTATATGAATTACATCTCAATGTAAAGAAAACAAAAATCTTCACCACTGGATGAATAAACAACATTCTTATCAACGGAG